TATAAAAAAGTCCATTTCATTGGTTCGGACTTCCATTGTCTAATATGAAATCCCTGAAAGAGTCTGTAAAAAATTAAAAAGTTTATCTGAAATATAACAATTATTTTGAGCAGAAAAAAACTCAAATTACAATGGAATGAAATAGAAGCAATAACCAAAAAAAATTCAACTAATAATACGTGATGAAACTTGAAAAATTATTAACAAGAAATGAAAAAATTAGAAATTAAAAGATATCAAACCATGTTACTTCACGACGTTTCGATTGTTAGTATCCACAATCGTCTTCGGGTAATAATTAATTGTTTCATTTCTTGTTAATAATTTTTTAATTTTCATCTCGTGTTGATAGTTCAATTTTTCTGGTTGTTGCCTGTATTTTGTTCCATTGTAATTAAATTTTGTTTTGCTTAATACGGTTGTTATATTTCAGATAACCTTTTTAATTTTTTACAGATTCTTTCAGGGATTTCAAATCATTTTATATCATATTAGACAATGGAAGTCCGAACTAATGAAATGCATCACGAAACATCGTCAACCACTTTCAAATAAAAAAGTCCGTCCATCATGGGAAATTTTTCGAAAAATCATATACTTCAATTGACTTTGATGCATACTATATAATATATATGAGGTTTTATCTTGTCTAATGAATGAATTGAGAACTGAATGAATGATGTGAATGTTTTCACGGTTACATTAGACTGTCTAATCTAATAATTCGGAAAGATGTTTTCAAGCAATGTTGTAGCTCATGAATGTACCCCAACTTAATTAACAATGGCTAAAATTAGCGACGGACTCGAAGAAAATCAGAATAATGAACGCTTCACAATGGATGTTGTCCTATTATCTGCACCATGAATGAAAAATTAATCTGTCTTCCCAACCGAATTAGTTTGTTGGCTCAGACTATTTATACAAAGAATAAGTGTGTTGTCCTCTTTGTACCCAAGATGAAACGAGATCTTTTGTTGGTCCATTCCAGAAATGTTTTGTCTAGAGAACAATTAAACCGCGAACCTTTTCAAACGAAGAAGACATTCATTGTTGTCTACATGCACGTGTGATATGACCTTTTATATCATTAGAATCTCTAAAATTCACAAAACACTGGCAGAACTGAATTTCAATAAGTACTTTTCTAGTAGTGAAATTTTCAATGAAATTTCATCACAACTACTAATGAAAAACAGTGTTCAAACAGTTCTTGTGATGAAACTGTACAAAGATTACAATACTAGACCCATAGTTGGTATGATAAAGATTAATGTTGAATGGATTCTACTGAATTGTTCGGCACGAATTTTCTTGTGCTTTGACCGAACATGCCATCCAACAAAACCGTTCAGTAAATGTTGATGATACTGGGATTATTGACGTCGAGAAGAACGCATTCAAACGTTATTTTTTGGAAATGATCCATTTACAGAGGGAAAATAATGTAATGAATAAAAAATCTGACTTTGACAATATTAGCTCCATTTACACATATATACTTGACTTGCACTTTGATAAATTCATTAATAATTCACCAAACAGTTCAAGTAGAATCCATTCAACATTAATCTTTATCATACCAATTATAGTCCGTAATTTTAGGTTAGTGACGAAAAACGTGATCTCGTAGATGTATGACAAGTATCAATTTATAACTGCACAATGTTTTTATTATTCCATGGAGCTGACAGTTCACAAAGATCACGTACTCTGCCATGGGACTGATTATTTGACAGAACTATCAATTCCGTATTTACAATGTGACATTATGGACTATCGTTGATTTTGAAGTTAAAATTCAAGCATATATGATCGTTACACTCGATAAATGTGACATGGTTATGAACAAAGCAAAGTCATGCGTTGCTTGAAATTGTTATGTCGAAATTACTATTATTCAATTTAACAAGATTCAGTATTATCATAACGACTTCATACTGAATGCGACCACAACATAATAATGTCCATCGACTACCGACCCTGGCACAAAATATCTTATTTAACATAAATAAGTCATTATGACTGAGTCGATAATTTTTATGTAACGGTAGCAATAAATAAGCTTATAATCAGTTACAATGAAAAATCTGGTTCACATAGCAAAACAAAATTAATCTCGTATTTAGGAATTCGTGAAGGAACTGAGCTAAATTCTAAAATTTCAGTTGTTTCAATAAGATGTGTCTTGGAGTTTAGAGTTCTTTATACTTAAACGTTATTTGACAACGTGAAAATAATGAGTGGTGGTTTTTAAATATATATTGCTTTTAAAGATTTCAGTTTTCCACATTATATACTCTAATAACCTATAACTTTTATTCCATTATCGTCCAATTTTCGAATACACTGATCCGTTATGTCTAATGTTTAATAAAACATTGTCGTAGTGAAAATACTAATTTCAGCCTTTTTAAAAATTGAAGGAGTCTGGTGGTACGAGATGGTACTTGGAAATATAGCAAGTTAGGACTAGACTAGACTAGACTAGACTAGAGTTATGAAGAAAAGATAAATCTCCATATCTTCTTCTTAGAGAAAGTGAGTACAGCATGATGAACTGTTCACAATTCTGGTAGTTGTAATAGGCAAGAGCCTTGAAACTGACATCACTAAAAAATACCTGATGAACCCTTTCCCTATTTGGAGAGTGAACGTTGTAAAATGGATCATAGATAATTGAGCAGTATTCAAAGTGCTGTCATACAAAGACACCGCCTGATTCTTACAACCATTGGATATTTGTAAAATCAGCAGTTACTCTCTTAAAAAAACCTGGAACTTTCAGAGCCTTGCTTATAACGGAGGAAATATGCTAATTGAAACTCAAGTTTGGTGCAAAGTCTTTGATGTTGGGAACTAAATCCAATACAGAATTGTTGAAATTTGTTGTTGTTTCACAATGGAAAAATTTCCTACTATAATCTATATCGACATTCATCTCTATACTATTTGAGTAATACCAGTTGGCAATGTTGTTCATATCACTTTGAAGATTGGAATTTCAGCATAAAATGTAATTTTAGTGAATAATTCAAATCTCCCATTTTCAAACGTCCTACGATTAGAAATAGAGGACCTCATGTCATTATTCAAAAATTGAAAAGCAGAGGGTCTAAAAATGTTTGTCATCACCATATAACAGAAACTTTTTTTTGGGAAAAAACTTTATTCATCCCCTTAGCAACATATTTCACAAACATTATTAGGCAGTATCTGACAATGACACCTCATTTGTAGTCTATCTCAATATTAACTGTTCACCTGTTGTCATGTTCGAAAAAGTGCTAGTACTAGTTTGCTTCCCAGGGAAATATCTGTTATGAGATGGAAAGCGTCACATACGTATATAAAAATTTATGGAAATTTATTGTTTATTACAGGATCAACACAATAAAACGAAAAATACAATGTATGTAGCAAACAAGATGGAAAACAGCATACAAACAGAAAATTTTTCGAAAATTTATCGGGTCCAAACTCTCACATGCCGACCTCACATGTAACTGTTTTTCACAATCCGAGATTGTGATTGAATCGTTACATAGTTCTTTCTATACGAATGATAATGGCAGCGTGACCCTTTTGATCCGTGATTGTTCTCGGATAAACACTGTTATTCGGGTACATGAAATATGAACACGCATTCTGAGTTCTAAGATTAGTTCGACGCTGATTCGGATCCGAAGACGGATTGCTAGTAGTTATGCTAATCAGATTTGTAGTTATAGAGCGGAAATTGAAAACTGACTAGCAATCGTGGCACTAAATACTTCTTGATGATCGTGGTGGTAGTGGTCAACGCAAACGCGATTAGTTCTAGAGATTTTCGGATAAGATTCTAGATGAGGAAGTGAATCCGTGGTGATTTTGGATTGCATTGGATATGTCGTATTAACTTATTCACAGTGAGTAATTATTACCTTTCAGAAAGGATGTATATATTCATTCGGATTATTTATGTACTATGCATTTGACTTTTCAATTTTCAATGACACATTGACTTTGGTTCCAAGGAAAAACTAGTTTCAGCGTATTCTCACTCCTTCAACTTTCAACATCTAGCAATGGTGGGCTCCAATCTCCAAAGTTTTCAATGTTAGGGTTGGGTAATGCGTCTTTTAAAAGGACACGAAATTAACTTACTCGTGATAACCTACCTGATGGATTTCTCTTCAATCAATTCAAAAACTGTGTCGTCCTATAATTTTGGAATTACCCAAGCGTGGACGAGAAATTCAGTTATTGCAAGTCAAAAGAGATATAGTTGTTTTTAAAATTGTTCATATTTTTATCTCAAACGTGGTGAACTGTGTTATATATATATGTGTGGATATATTTGTGTTATAAGACACCTTCTTCATACAGGTCATCATTTACAAGAAAGCGAACACAAATCAGCTCTTTGGGGTTCGGACTCCCATTGCATAAAACATTTTTGACAAATTCGAAATCTTGGAGAAGAAAAAAATGAATGAAATAATAATTTGTTAATTGATGAAAATGACATCAAAACAAAAAGATTCACCTTGATCATGAAATGAAGTGAATATTACTGGAGTTTTAGCCCAACACCAAACTGTTATTTTAACACCTCGATACGTGTTTCGATCACCAATTGATAATCTTCAAGTTTACTCTTTCCCTTAAAGATGATCACGTGGTGTTCGAAACACGTGTCGAGGTGTTAAAATAACGCTTTGGTGTTGGGATAAAACAATAAGTGGAACATTTATAATAAAAAAATGAGAAATATATATGAGATATAATGAGAAATTTAGATGGAAAAATAAAAAATTATTTAAAAAAATTGAAAAAAAGCTACGACGTTTCAACTGTTAGTACCCTCAATCGTCTCCGTCTGATATCTGAAATGAAGAATCAGGAAACATATAAAAATTTTCAACGTCAAAAGTCTTGATATATCGCTTACATTTGCCCTTTTAAAATTATCAATTGCCTTTTGAGAAATTGAACTAACAAATTTCATTTCATTTCAGAAATATGTCATCGAAGCGAAAGTCCCCACCAACTAAACTACACGAAGGTGCCAACTCGGCCGAAACCATAACCTCCCTCCAATCTCACCAGCCTGGCAGTGGTAGCGAAGGGGGAAACCTCACCGATCTCGATGAGACCAGCAGCAACAACCTGAGCGACATCTGCGAAGAAGACACCACCACCATGGTACACAGTTCCAACGCATTCTACAAGCTGTCGGAGTCGTCTTCGCCCGGTAGCGTGTCGGGCAGCGAAGCCGAAGAAGTTGAAGAGGACCGGACTCCTCCCAACAAGACCGCGAGGATAATGTGTTCCTCGGAACCGAACATTCTTATGTCTAGTAGTATCCAGGCTCTGTCGTTGCATAATGAGCCTGAGAGAAGAAGGAACTCTTCGGAGTGTAGTAGTCCCAATTCGGATGTGAAGACGAACATTCACTATAATAATAATAATAGTAGTTTACTTAATAACAATAGTTTCTCGCATCCCTTGAAGAGATCCATGGACGATGTCCTGAAGAGGCTGACGTCGAAAATCAACAACAGCACCATCAGGGAGGAGAAAAGGCCCACGCCATCTTCGACGCCCAATTCAATACACAATTCGTAAGTCGATTTTTGCTGCATTTGTTCCGCTTCTCAGTTTGTACAATAAATGGTGAAGAGATCTTGAAAAAAAAATATGTTTTTCCGTCAACCAGCTGTCGCACCACTGCGAACGACAACCCTCAGAAGTCGAAACTTGTGCGAGCTAAGGATTAACGAGGTCTTAACTTTTAGCGTGTGATTCCTAACAAATAATAAACATGATTTAGTTTCATGTGTAAAACAAATGGAAATTTATTTCAGATCAATGGAAATTTAAATACCGCCAAAAGTTAGTGCATTCACGATGCTCGTACTAGATGCACTTTAGAAAGGTTTCAGTCAAACGGCTAAATGGGCAATTCAGAAAATGATAAATTTGTTTGAGAATAGAGTGCCTTGTTTGTGAAATTTTATCAAATATCATTTGGTTGTTTATAACTGAAGGTTATACTAAAATAGGAAGTCGTGTGTTTGGTAAGTGTTTGAAGTGGTTACAGTATATATTTCTAATTCTGATTTGATCATAATCAAATCGAATTGTCACAATTTTTCTCATATTAAACCCTATGTGTCAACTTTTGTTAAATTTACGTGGATTTCTATAATTTTTTTAGTTACCACTAAGCTCATGTTTCCAGCGATAAATTTTCAAATTTCACCAAGCAAATAAGTTGAGGTATTCAAAAAAACACTTTAATGTGAGATTTCCACTTGACAGTTTACAAAACCGTGACACGTGTATATTGTGACGCCTGATGATGCTATTGTATAGCGAAACACGTGTCGCAGTTTTGTACAATGAATAAATCTCACATTAAAGTGTTTTTAGAATACGTTATGATGGATTTTCATCAAGTGCCGGTCAGTTCTATCGTATTTTCAATTACCTTGAGTATACTACAATTGGGTCGTTTAGCTAAATCTAACTTTGTGCATTTTTTTGTCATCCAGGGTATGATGAAAAGAATTTTATCTCAGTAGCATTTGCCGTTGTCAAGATACACCACTTTGCCGAAAGCTAGTGAGACGTCACTAGATATGTGCGATTGTCGGTACAGCGTCTGAAACACGTCGTTTAATATTTCAGGTTAGAATGAAGTTGCATTCATTTCAGGCAAGTTTTAATGAGGCAGATACAAGTAATATACCACAGGTGGAATTATTCTGCAGATTAAATAATAAAAAGCGGTACCTAAAAATACATAGGGAGACGTGAAAGTTGCTATTATGTTTTTATTCAACTCAGTCAACCAATTTCCAGGGCCGTAATTTAATAGGGAATAATTCACACAATTATAATCGAATATTACCGAAAAATTCCGAAATATAAAACTGAATTTAATTTCTCACTATGAAGTGAACGTCTACGATCCAAAATCTACCACAAAAAATACAGGTCCGTATTTAAAAATTCAAAGATGGGGTGGCCCAAGTCAGATGACACCCTGTATAAAAGATTCATAATTATATTCTGAGAGCCCACATCAAGTGCCAATAGCAAAATGTGGACAGATTTTCAATATGCGAATAAAGAAGGTAAAGGCAAAAAAATAATTTGGGATTTTTTGTTTTTCCTGTATATCTCCAGAACCAAAGGAGCTATATTCGATTTCTTTACATCATTGAATAGGTCTCTAAAATACGCAACTTTACCACATTTTAACCGACACTCCATCTCTTATCGTTTACGAGATCCCCATGTACAGAAACGAATTTGAATAGCCCTTTATATTTGAGTGTAGGTATTTATTTGTTTAGGTTGTAGGCTGTTGTAGTGAAAGAAATTGTGTCCACTCTATTCATTGATAGGTATAAATGCATTTATTTTATTATTACTTTGGAACAAATGTGATGTATTCACATTAAAATGATCCTCGCAATGGAAACAAGGTATTTGCCTGGATTTGTTAACTTGTCATGCACTCTTTGGAATCTTTGGTGTAGTAATTTATATTACTGGAGTTTTTTCCCAACACCAAACCGTTATTTTAACACCTCGACACGTGTTTCGATCACGAAGTGATCATCTTCAAGAGGAAGATTGAAGAAAATAGACTTACAATGTTATCCTTATTCATACCATAGATATATCTTCTAGGTGGCTGCATCTTGAGTGTCTTGAATTGATTTCACGATATTGCCTGATCTAATAGTCTTAAACTAATTTTACAATGTGTCCTTATGTAATAGACTGGTAAATCTAATAAATAAAATATTATTTTAACAAGCTATATAGTAAACTATCAGGTATTGGTCCACCATCGTTATTCATAATATTAGTATGTTTACTTATCTCATACTCTCATAGGCATCTAGATGCCTGTTGTTGTTAACTTGTCTAACTAATCTTAATGAACTAAAGTATAGGGAATGGTTCTGTTGCAAAATAAGATGGGCGACTGCTGATTTTTTTTGGTCTTCCATATATTAAGTGTGATAAGTGTTCCTTATATCTTATTTTGATAGATCTTTTTGTCTGTCCATATACTTTTTTGCATCGCAGTCCTTACAATTAATTTCGTTAATTCTCGACTTTGTCTTTTGGACTTCCTGAAACACTACTACAGAGCCTTTTAAGATTATTTGGAGAAGAAAGAAATAATAAAAATTCGAAAAGGCATTGAAGTGAAATATCTCAAAACTGACAAGTTCCGAAAATTTTAATTATCTGTCGAAAATGTTCATATTGACATCGCTTGTCATGAGCACCAACACCATGGTTATAGCACACTTAGAGCGCCCGTACACGAGCTACATTTTGTGGTCGGATCGACTACACAATTGCAGTCGCGTTCCAGCGAACTCAAGCCGCCCATATGAAATACTGTACTACACGTACACGGGCGTTCACAAAAGTCAAAACGGACGTCTGCAGTCAACTTGCTGCTGATCTCCGCCGAGATGTCATCACGACATCCGCCGTACACTAACCACAAACTTGCAGTCGTACCCAACCGCGTACACCGTGGTGTACTTTTTCTCATATTGGTCTCAAGGCATTCAATTTTTGATGTCAGTTTCCTCAACTGCAAGTGCGGTTTCTATGACCGCAAGTCGACCACAAAAATGTGGTTGGGTCAACCGCGAAATGCAGTCAACGTGACCACAATGTTGTGGTTGCCTCAACTGCAAATATGTGGTCCGTGTACGGCCGGACTTAGACATGACAAGAAATAAAAAAGGCAATATAATGGTGTGCTAGATACGGATTGTCAATTTCATACATATAAATATTACTGGAGTTTTTTCTCAACACCAAACCGTTATTTTAACACCACGATCAGTTTGATCTTCCTCTTGAAGATGATCACTTGGTGATCAAAACACGTGTCGAGGTGTTATAATAACGGTTTGGCGTTATTATAACAGTTTGGGAAGAAACTCCAGCGATATTCATTACTACACCAAAGGTTCCAAAAAGTGCATCACAAATTCATACATATACTTAAAATCATCTGTAAAGATACCAAAATCTAGTGTACAAGACCAGGTCAGAAATAGAGTCAATAAAAACATAAAGAGTACTGGAAACATAGACGTGGAAAACAAAGGGGAAAACCGTTAAAACGAAACCGTCCTGAAAAAAATTGATGGACCTTAGAATCTTTAGCAATGCCACAAGGGCACAGAGACAGTTGTAGATGTTTCATTCGAATGAAAGGCCCTGAATCACAGGAAGCCAATAATTTATAGATAGCTCAGGGAAACACCTTGAACATTCAATAAAGACCTATATGGAAATAGATGTTTGAAAAGAAATATGGAGGTAAAACCTCCATGAAGCTGAGTTAGGTAATTTCTGGAGACTTGGAAGAACAAACGGCTCTCAAACAGCCAAATTGTTTTTCATATTATTAGTGTTTGTTACCGATGAAAAATAAGATTTTTATCTGAACATCAACAATGTTTTGATGATGGAGTATAATTCAATCCAAAGATAATATATTGATGTGATTCAAGTTATTCTCTGTTCAGCCATGGATCATATCTTACCTCGAAGTTTTTTTCTTAAAAATCACGAATGAATTTACCAAGATAAATGTCAATCCAAGTAAATTTGAAAATACTCTTCAATTTGAGGGAAGTTATGACAACGTTATTTGGTTGTACTAGCCACTTTGAATATAATTAAAGTATAAGTTTGTGAAAATATGTCATAAGAGAGTAGTTCAAAAATGTATTCTCGAAAAATGAAAGTGAATGAGACACCATTACTTTTTATTTGTCCATAACCATCTCAAAACAAATAGTTTTAATTGTAATAGAATATCTGAAATTTACAACCTCAACACATTACGAAAGTTGGTTAATTTCATCAACCCTGAGTTTTTTGTCACTAAATCCCTTTTTTCTTTATTTTTGAACCAAAACAAAGCTAGGCTCACTGTTCAACTGAAGTACAAAAACTCCTGACAATTATAAATAACTCCTGAACTGTGTCAGTGCGAATCTGCGTTTCCGCTGTGATAACTATTAATTGATTGCTCTCAATCCGAATATATAATATGAATGAACAAACTGATATGAATAGATTCTACGAGAAAAGAAATGTGTAATGTCGGTTATGTCATTTATCTGCATTATGTTTCTCAACAGGGGTCAAGGCAATCTAGAGGTTAAAATATACACTTTTTATGTAATGATATGGCGTATCATCATTACGTTCCATGTTATATGGTAGTGTTTTAGTTATATTTTATTGTTCAAATTCATTTTGAAGTGGATACCATATTCATAGTTCTGTTTTGAATGAGAAATTATTACCTCAAAGTACCCACTTGACGCAAAAATAGTAGTCATCTCTTTCAGATTTTCCACGTGATAGATCTCAGGAAATGCCTAATATTTGTATTTTGTCATCCGTTGAAAAAAAAAAAAGAGATTTTCAAATAACAATCTCATTATTTTTTCATTATTTGTTTTGCTTTGAGAAAAAGTGAAGAATGTTATGTAATACGTGAATTCAAATTCTACATTACAAAAACTGTGAATATTTATCATGAGTGAATTCAGCACTGTGAAAATAATCTTTGTATCAGAAATTCCCATATTTTTGAAAGAGATATATTTCAAGAAAATCACTCAAAACATCAGTTACCATAAATGAATTCTACTCTCAGTGACGTGAACTCATAATATTCTATATAAAAGCCCAGAAATCTGAAAAAAATCTCAGAAAAAATTAAAAATCCAACGATATTTCAGCCCACTGTGGAATCGAAAAAGTACATATAAATGCAGTCCATATGTCTTGGGAATATCTCATGTTTGAATCTATGCTTTTCAAAGTCAATTAAACAAATATTAGTTGGTTGGAACATACACGTATTCTCACCTTTTCGAATAACTCATTTTTGATTCATTATAAGATTGGTGACAGAAACACGTGTCGAGGTGTTGAAATAACGGTTTGGTGGTGGGTTAAAACTCCAGTACTGTTAGAAGGGGGTATATTTTCAGGAGGGAATAATTTTTGGGAAAAAAAGGTTTTGTAGTTTCACCTCATTCGTGACGTGAAGTCGTATTGAATACATTGAATGCTACTACACAATGAAATGTTATCCGGTTTGTAAATGAAAAGGCAACGATTATTCCGAAATATCGATGTTCGAAATTGCCGATGGCAGTCTTCCATATAGATGAAATTTTACCTCTTCCGTATACCAATCCTGTGAATGATATCTGATTCAATTACGAATGTGTGGAGTACAAACTGAATAGGAAAAAGTGTATTTTATATGATTCATTGTTTATATAAAAGTAGTTGTTTTGAAAGTATTTTTTCTTAGTGTAATTCAATGTATATATGAAAGTAGTTGTTTCGACAGGACTCTTTCTACTAGTTTTTGTCTGGAAGTTACCCCTTTGCATGATCTTCATCGCCAAGAACGCGATCCGAACGCGGGTAGACGGGTGGGGGCAGACGTCGTTGACTGTTGTTTTGGTTTTGCGAATTTCTTTATAGGTTGCATAATTTGATACTCGAAGCTATTCATTACTTAGTGCATAGGCATATTTTTGAAGTAAAAATACGAATAACTAGCTGTTGCCCGTTCTTATATTAACGTGCAGCCTAAGATACTGAACCTAGAATTTTGAAATATGCAGGTAGGTTCTTTGTATAGCGTAAGTGAGCATCAAGAAAAGGAATCAAGAATTTTCACTTCCAAGGGGGGAAAATAGGGGTTTAAAGATTATATTGAATTTGGAAACCTTAAGTTTTGGGTTAATAAAAAAATATTGTAACTATTTGTTCAAAATGGTCTGTCACGAAACATAATATGACAAACCAAATTCTATGCGGGTGAAGCCGCGAACAAAAACTAGTCATGCATGAAGTATTTAGGTTTCATTGACATCAACTACTAGCTATGATTATTAAACCCCTCTTTTGTGAAGACCTCGATAGTCAAGTCCCAAGCCACACCAGGGACACCCTGATATTTACTTCCAGTGAATAGTATTGTATTCGTTTTGATGATACATATTCAATTAAATGCATGACAAGTACACCTTTTGTCAAATTCAACTTGAATCTATCTTATCCTGAACTAATCAAATGATTTCCATTGAAATTTCATAAATAAATGAAATAAAATCAGTTTGATTCACCAGTCATCGGTGAACTATTAAGATGAATAAACCTCTGAAGAAGCCAGTCACTCGTGCTGGCGAAACGTTAGGAAACAGTTCCAAACCACGACGGCCTTCAACCCCGAATGAAGATCGTAACAATGAATTTGATAAATGTATTACCTTGTGATGAACAAATTTTCCAAAAGTTATCGAAGGATTTGGAAATGATTAGACCATATTGCTATTATTAATTTCGAGTATTTTCATTGTGTATTTCTTTTCAGTCAAGTGATTCATGTATACGAGCTCTAGAAATATTCCTTTCTCTTGAAGATGATCCTCTTGAAGATGATCACTTGGTGATCGAAACACGTATCGAGGTGTTAAAATAACGGTTTGATGTTGGGAAAAAACTTCAGTGATATTCAATGTAATTTAATTTCGATTTTGAAACATGCAATTTGCCACACAAAATGATTATTTGATAGCGTCAGACTTGATGCGTTATAATTTGATTTCCTTTGATCTCCACCTATAATGCTAATATGCATCTATAAAATAGTGTGATACCTCGCACTATCGACGTGTTTCTATCAAGTTTTTGCAGTCTGCAGAATTTTTCCATCTACATAAATTTATACCGGGTTCCGTAATTTACATCACACGATACATTATTCAGTCTATGAAAATTCTTGTTCGCATAACCGTATATATCGAATGAATGCTTAATACCCTCTTTCACATAGCGAATCTACGATCAGAAAACTTTTCTCAGAGAAAGTCTGATTGAAACTAAGATCAGCATAGCGAACATTATCTTACGGAATCTCTTATGAAAGCTCAGCGTTCTTCCGAATAATGTCATTTTTTCTTTCATCGCTTTGTCGGGAATGGAGAAAAGTATACGTTTCGCGCTGTTTGAAGTCTCATGATATTTGCAAGCAATGTTGTCGAACAATTGGCAGTTATAGATAACAATCTTCTTTGCAGAGACGTTGAACCTACAACGGCTATTCAGCAGGCGCTTTCCGGCGACAATATTATGGAGAAAGACAGGAAATTGTCAGAGCTCATTTTCCAGCTTCAAATGGTTAGGGAGCAGCTACTCACACAGCAACAACAGGAAGCGAATAAGGTAAGTCCAGGACTCTTTACTGTCACTGATATCTACCGCACAAATTTGTAAAAATTATATATTTTTTTGCTGGATTGCAGAATATAAAAACATATGTTTGTGATAAATTTTAAATTTGATTCTTTGTCAGAAATTAGCTTTCCAAAAAGATTGATAAAATAAAATGATACTTGCTTGAGAATGTTTTGCACAAAAGTTGTAACAAAATTTCAAATTGAATGCATTAAGGTGAATGTTAGAAATATTGAATATTTTCAATAAAATTTAAATATAACAATCTTTATTATTCATAGAAAAATATTTAGTATGGAAAGTTAATTTGCTATTTTCAGACAAACGAAAGCCTATTTTTATTACCAACAATGTTTCATGGGAAAACTTTGACAGTCATTCAAATATATTCATTGAAATTTTATTCCCCAACTTACTGTCAGAAAGTGAATTTAACATCTTTCGACTGCACTTAAACATAAAACGATTGTTTTTTGAGGATTTTTTCCTTATAACATTGCACGCTTATTAGTTTCAAGAAATATTTGAATAGATATAATATATTTCAATCTGGTTGTCTTCTTCTATAAAATTAGATCAGTTGATACTTATATTTAATCTTTATTTACCGTATATAAAAATGTATAAAATATCAAAATTATCTTTATAATGAAAAGTCATGTCATAATCATATGACATGACTTTTCATATTAAAAACATCAAATTCTCATTCATTCATTTTTCGTTTCTTTCTTCTAGTTTTCTTCTGTTCTTTCCTTCTTTTTTTATTGTTTTATTGCAAAATATTTTGTATTAATATGAGTTAGCTGTTGCTGGTTTGATGGAAGAGCAATTTCTGCCTTGATTTATCATGTGCAGATGTTGAATTCTGCAGTTGGTTAGGTTAGTATCTCTTGTGCTGACTACCTATCCTTTCAAAAAAAAGAATTTATTACTAAATTGATGGATGTAGCCGTTATTACCTGGTAGGAGATCGTCATGGAAAATAAGAAATGAAACTTTCTAATATGTTTTTACCACTTTTATTTGTTACCAATGTTGTTACTGCAGTTCCGTCCTAGGAGAACAGTTTCAAACAATTACAATGAACTGTTCATTATTACAATAAACTGTCTATTGTAATTGTTTGAAAATAAATGGCCTTGTATATATAGGACGAAACTGCAGTAACAACGCAGTTACAAATAAAAGTAGTTAAAAACATAAAATGTTTTGTTTTCGTTTTTCATGCATTTATTATTATTATCATTAATAACTTGTTGTGGAAATGTGCTAACATAATATTGACTCAGATAACTGGCAAGAAAGTTATGGACTGAAAAGTTCAATTCGAGTGGTTTTCTCGAATTCAAAAACAAAAAATATTAATCTTACTTCAAATGCCAAATGCCAGCCTGACAAAACTGATCAGGATTAATTCTTTCATATAATTCCGTACTGAGAAGTTCCATAGTTTTGTTATTATACCTGTTCTGTAGAGCATTTTGTCGGTAACTAATCAATAAAAAGTAATATATGTAAGTTTCCTTTTTTATGAAAAGATTAATCGAAGAAATGATGGTTTACAAATATCATAGAGTGACATACTACAAAAGGAGTACCAAAGGGATTGAAAAAAAAAGTTGCAAGGTTTTTGCAATATTGTTCATTTGTTAACATATTTATAAAAATAAATTATTGGTCCATGAATTCACTGAAATTATACTGGAAGTTTCATTCTCCAAAATGATAAATGTATTACCTATTGAGAATATTATCAAACGTTCAAAGATGAATACTATAAAAAGCAACATTGAAAATTGCTATTAACTGGTTAACGTTCCACCTTAGTCATAAATGGTAGCCAATGATAGTTTTCAGGATTATTGGTTATACAATACTTTTGGTCGTTGTATCTATTTACATATATGCAAAATCATCTATTTCAAGACTCCTCAAGTCCTTCAACTTCTACGTAGCGACTTTTTTTTAATGTAACTCTTGATTTCTCTAAAAATTATATCGAGGTCCTCTGAAGCACAAGTGAAATAGTATCAGTGCAGTGAACAACTTAACACTGCGACTCAGCTACACCTCCAGTGGATTTCCAACGTGACTGGCGCTCTGTGCGATACTCACGTTAAACAATCTGAAAATGGGCATTGTTTCAAGAGTGATTGTCGTAACTGTGACGGATCCCACGCGCAAGCAAGCCGCTATTGGCTGGCACCGGGCCGGACCCCTTAATCCATTGGTCATTCCAGTGACGGATGAGTTGGTTTTGTCTGCTCTCTGACAGGTGGGATAATAAACATTGCTGAACAATGGCGAAACGAAAATATGTCTGCGCACGATTAGGACACTGCCAAATGGAGAAGATTAATAGTTCCTGGTCGGCGTTTGACGATTTTTTCGGAGGGGATTTACTGTGTGCCAAGTCGACTTGATAAAATATCTGGGGGTTTGTTGGAGCGATTTGAAGTATCAACACGTTGGAATTGATTTCATTTAGATCAGGTCCATTTGCTTAATTGAATAACGTACTTATATCCTTCTAAAAACATTATTTCAAATTCACTTGAAGACACCATCATGTTACATATCTCAAATGGCAGTAGAGCCTTTATAGCTCGGTCAAGTTTTCTTGTTTTCTTGATCTCAGTGAATTAGGTACAATCCTTTAAAAAATCTATAAGATACATTTTGGAATATTTAGTGATATTAAATTAACAGAACTGTAACCATAATGAAGAAAAAAGAATTGAAACTTTCTATGTTTCAACCACTTTTATTTGTAACTACCTAATGTTACTACAGTACATTACAGTACTACTTGTACATTAAACTAATGTATCTATGAAATGTATGTTTAATGTACAAGTTTGAAAATGTCCGTATAGGACGAAACTGCAATAAAATTGATAAAAAACATAGAAAGTTTCAATTCTCTTTTCTTTAGTATGATTTATTACCATTTGTTGCCACAAAACAGAAAACGAAGATTCATCATTTTTTAAATGCATGCATTAAAAATATTCTATATATAGGTACGTGTATGTCAAAAGCTAGTTTATGGATTTTATTAAAAGAAACGATAATATAATACACACCTATCTATAACTGATAAGTTTCGATCTTGTGTGGGATATTAATTACAATAACTTGAGAAATGATTAGAAAATCACTATAAGGGATGTTACATTTTCATTGATTCTTGAAATTTCGTCAAAAATAATAGATTACCAATTCTCTAATGTTGTTTATTATATCAACTCATATACGAGATTGTTGATTATATTCTAGTTTGCTTTTTTCGGACAAAAGTGGTGTGAAAATACGGAGATAGAAGATGACATTTTTCGCATTTGAGACAGTGAGTTAGGTACTGTTTTTTAGTTCGCACAAAAGTCTTCAGAAAATATTTCCTTAAATAAGAAGGTAGATATTTCAAAAGATATAATTTCATTCTGAATTTCCTTCACTTCTATACTCCATGAGCTGTAAAATCGAATTTTGACACTTTAAATAAGAAACAATATCTGTAAAGAAGGTGAAGTAACCAAAACCGGAAACTTCACCAAAATTTAAAAAGTTTAGGTAATCTCAGTTTGCCATTGAATCTTAATAAGGAGATACTTGGAACACAGAATAGAAACAGCGTTGAATCTTCAGTGATGTTGCTTCCAGCTAAATATACAGACAAGACATACCTGTAGCCTATCCAATTTCAATGAATTTTATCTATCTATAAAGAATCAACATCCTGTATACACCCCGGTACTTCGTGTGGTTGTATTTCGGCGTACAAGTACAGATGTGACACCATTAGTTTGGGAATCGACGCATCCGAATGTGAAAAAGAGGTACTCAAAATTAAGATACGGCCTATTTTGCATGGATAATGCACCGTATAATATACATTTCGTTTGGCGATTCAAGTAAAATGTCAGTAAACTACTTTTTCTTGATGTCATACTAATTATTCGTTAGACTTGAAAAATTACATAGATAATATGGTTTAATTCATTCGTTTTATTCAATCATTTTGGTTGATTTGAAAATAAAATCACATATATTCATGTGAATCCAATAATGAATTGAATTAAGTAGGTAGGTATACGTGATCTCAAATATTATTTTTATTCTTTAGGAATATATTATGGAGAGATTATTATTTATCGTAATTGTTTTGAAAAAATATGTACATGATCTGTGAAGATATAAATAATAATTGCGTGAAAACGTTACCCATTTATTCAAAAACAGAATTGGTATCGAGAGAAGAAGATTATTTGAGTTGGTTCCAGGTTAAATTACACTGAATTCAAATAAATATCTATTCACCTTTTTCCACAAGACTCGAGTATAGGTAAATTAAGTGTAACATAATCCTTATTTGGGACTTTGAATAATTGTATCCTCGAATCAAATACCTATACCAATTCTCTCTGTTTTTATTACTTTCTTGATTCAAAAATGAAACAATCTGCTTTCTCAATATATAAACATATCTAGTGGATATTACATATCACTCACTACGGGAACAGAACTTAGATAAAACATTCAGATTTGTTCGTTATTCCAAATGTTATCTAATGGAAATAAATTTTTACTCTTATTGTTAGAATTGTCAGAACAGGAATATTCTTAGAAAGTTTTATAAACGTCTATAATTTTCAACTTGTATGTCGAGGTTGAAAGCAAGCTAAAAATTCATTACATAAACTATATTTTCAGAACTCTTTACTTCAAATTGATCATTTGATTGTTATGAAGCCACAGATTCTCACGGCCGAAGTCTTGCACGAATGAAAAAAACAAAATATCTACTAGTACATAGGCCGTTGTCGAATGGAACTAAATTACCGTACGTTTCGTCTGCTACTGCAGACATGTGCGTTNGGTGATTTCTTAAATGGACCCGTATCTCTGCCAGAAAGACCGGCGAGATATACCGCAACTTTTCAGAACAAACGCTACCTCAGTTTTTGTACCATGTACCATTGGTT